CCTTCCTTCCTTCCTTCCTTCCTTCCTTCCTTCCTTCCTTCCTTCCTACCTACCTACCTACCTACCTACCTACCTACCTACCAAAGGGTGGTGGGGAGTGAGGGATTGCAAGACTGACTGGAAAATTGTCAGGGAACCTTGAAAATAAAGAACCACCTGAATTTTGGATACATTCTGTAAGTTAGCCCATTTGAGGAACCTTGGTTCAAAAACTGTTGCCCCTATGAATATACCAATTCACCCAGGTAAGAATCATAACAAGAGTTTTAGTAGTATTTAGATAGATAACTCAAATTGGTAAAAATACTTAATACTCCTGTTTGCCACCCAACAACAACCTTGACAGTTGGCTTAGAATGAGAGAGAGAGACTGACCAGCCCAGTCACCCAAATGGCTTTCTTGCCTTAAGGGAAGCCTTAGAATTCAGTCTCCTGCTTTCTAGGCCAGCACCTTAACCAATACAGCAAACTGGCTCTTGTGAGTTTAATTTAAATCTACTTTAATAGCATTGAATATAAATTTATGAAATTTTAAAATTAAGCAATCCTAACTCTACCCTGTCTTAGCTACAGTCTGCATATATGAAATCCTGACCATTCTTACAGATACTCCGTCTTATTTGTTTCTGTCTCTCAACAAGAGCAAAAATTGAGAAACAGTAATCAGATGTACAAGTGTATTAAACAGTGCACACCTTTCTGACTGGATGCATGAGCAAAGATCAAATTACTGAAGTTAGGAACTTATTCTAAAGACAACTGAATTTTGCCACATCTTTTTGTATTGCAACCTTTCATCATTCTATTTTATTTGTTTTTGTTACTAATTTAAGCAAGTTTGTTTGGGAGAGAAATAAAGAGAACCCTTTATTTCTAAAGGATTTCCCTATTTTTTGCCTGAAATATCTTTATTCATTCCCAAACAGGTTGTTTTACATGCACTGACAACCAGAGAAGTAGTTTAACTTGCTTGGTCTGAAAAATAATTAGCTTTTCTGTGATGTCCATTAGTGGAAAGCTTATTAATTGCATTCCAAGGAAGAAACAACTCTTTTTCAACTTTTGAGAGCAAAGGGACTGACATAATTTAGCCTTTTGTGAGGGCTTGATTTTAACTCCTGTGGGCTCCTTTGCACTGCACAAAATATAATAACCTTAAGCCAGTATTTCTCAACTTTGGCAACTTGAAGTTCTGTGAACTTCAACTTCGGGCTGGCTGGGGAATTCTGGGAGTTGAAGTCTCCATATATTCAAGTTGCTAAGGTTGAGAAACACAGCATTAGGCTGAATAAGAAGTCACAAACTGAAGCCAAAGGAGCAGTGTGTGTATGTGTGTAAGGGGATGAGGAAGGAGAGAGATCTAACTTTCTTCCATTCCAGTTCACATGAACCACCAACCTCATTAGATAATATCTTTGTTCTTTCCACGTGAAAAACAAAACAAAAATCTCAATTCCCCATTGCAAACCTCTCCTACCCCAACTCCCAAACCCTCAAATTATTTATTTGCATTAAAATGCTTCTGCACAGCCTTTGGTTCTTGGTTTTCTGGCCATGCACACAACCCCCTCCCCACAGAAGCAAGCCTTCCTCTTAAAAGGAATCCCCTTCCACAACTTAATTATTTCACAGTATGCTTTTTCTAGCACACAGGTTTTCTTAATTCTTGGTTCTTCCTTTAGCTGCCTCCCATGTTAACCCAGCATAAGCATGTTAGGAACAAGTGATAGACCTAGAGCAAAGCTGTCAAACTCCCAGCCTGCGTGCTGGATACGTCACATGCTGGCCATGCCCGGTTTAGCAAAGGGGGGAAAAGTCATGTGATGCAGCTGTGACAACATGAGTTTGACACACCTGACCTAGAGCCTTCAGATGCAAGTTACCAATTATAGCCACACACCAAAGAACACAACTGTCTGAGCTAGTATGGGTCATGCCATTTAGTCAGGAAAAAATATATGGTTAACAAAAGAAGCTTATAAACCTATAAAGATTTAGCTTGGTCAATAAGCATTAGGAAGAACCTGAAGTTGAACAATACTTATTATATTATAGGAGCTGGAACAATGGAATTGCAGTGTCTTCACTCAGACATGATAATTTCTAGGCTAATTATTTTATCTGGAAAAATTAAATACTACTATCGCCATGCCAAGCTTGCTATGGAGAATACAAGCATCTGTATTCTCCTTGTAACTTTTAAAAATAAAGTGAGAAATAAACAAGAAGGTTGACCCTGGAAAATGTCTGCTAATAGTTAAATCATTTCTGTACCAAGTAGTTTTCTTAGAGTGATAGATGGACCCTTCAGGTATGCAGATTTTCTAGTAGGGAGAGATTGCAAACTGCAGTTAGAGACTCTGAAACTGAAGGAAAAAGAAGGAAAAGAACACATTTTAAACTTTCTATTTAAAAAATAATTATAGTCTCAATTGTTCCAATTATACTCCCACCCCCAGCATTTAGCCACTTTATCTGAAAAGTTTGAGACCCACAACACCTCCAACTGATTAAAACAATAGTTAAGATTTTTTTAAAAAAATATACAGACACACTTGAGTCCAGCTTGACCCCTGATAAATATGAAGACATGTCCCTACAATTTAATTTTGCAATGGTACAGAAGGGGATTCCAATTGTCTTCTTCCAGTATATTTTTTCATCTTCTCTGAAATTGCCCAGTAGATTCCCATCCAATTAAACATCAGGAGCCTGTTACCTTTTGAGACTGGACAAGTTCAGCCAGATGCTGAATTAATTCCAATAAATCCTTGGCTGGTCTAATAAACATTATTACCTTAATTTGGTGGTTTTGGATTTTTTTTAATTTGTAGTTAACACAAGTATTTTACTGCAATTCCAGCCAGCATTTCAGAAGTATAAAACATGTCACCAGGATTACATAAAGCATTTCTACAGCTTGGCTTCTATCTCCTCATTCTACTGTCATTTCTCCATCCTGCTATGGTTTCCCTCTCCACTAGAGCCAACATTTTCGTTTTCTTTCTTTTATAATAGAATTACAGAGTTGAAAGGGACCCTGTGGGTAATCTAGTCCAACCCCCTGTTCAAGCAAGAGACCCTAACATTTCTGACAGTATCATTTTAATAAGGCACAGACAAATCTTTAAAACTTAGTTGCATCAACAAAAAACGTGGAAACTAACGATGCCACAACTATGAAAGACTAACTAAAGATGCCACAATTATGAAAGATTAATGCAATTAATGCCTGGTTTAGCACCAGGCTAAATTTCTTCCGGATTGTTGTAAAGAAAGAAAAAAAAGATAGAAAGGGAGAAGTACATTTACCACACTGAAGTACCAAAGACAGAAACGGGTGTAATGTAATAATCCTTACATAAATGTATAAAATCCTACATCTATCTATCCGAAGGCAAATCTTTCTGGATTTGATGGAACTGACTGTTGCGTCCGTTTATACTTTAGGCGTGTTCTTTCCAAACGCGGAGCTACAGGTCTTAAAAATAACTATTGCTCAAACAAAACAAAAACAAAACGGGGACGAACTTCTTCAGTACAAAGCCCTTCGCAGTTTCTGTAGGATATAAGCGTTTGAATTTCACTCCGCTATGAATCCCTTTTGACACTTCTCGGCGGACAATCTACCAACCTCGGATACTGTGAAGAGTTAATTTCAAGGCAGCGGATTTAAGTATTGCTTCCGGGCATGCTCAGTATTTCCAAAAAAGTGGGAGGGGAAAGAGGCGGAGGGGTGAAAACAGAGAGAAGGGCGGAGGGAGGAGACGTCTCTTCTGCTTAGTGTGATTTTGAAACCGGCGTTGGACTTCATTGATCCCGAATAGCGGAGTGGTAAGTTTATTGTGTATTGCATCTTTGGGAAGCATTGGCTTAACTTGGATTGGAAAGGAGAGTATGAGGATAGAGCCCTCCTTTGGGTGTAAAAAGATCTCATAACACCCATAAAAGAAAACAAAAACAAGGGAAAAAAACAACTGAGATTGAGGAAGCGAAGCTCGTGACTGGCTAAACATCTGTGCTGTAGCTGATCTTTTTCTTTTGATATAGTTTTATTAAATTTCAAAATCAAACATTAAAATGCAAACTAACATAAAAGGAAAAAGGGGAAATCGGGACAAATTAAAAGTGACAAGAAAAAAAATACATCAAAGAGCTGTTATAGTAGTGACCTTCGATAATAATGATTTCAATAAATTGTTTTAAATATATTAAAGAAGTTAAAGCACTATTTAAATTAAATTAAAATTTTGTTTTTAAATTATTTAAAAATAATTATATGACTATTTAAATAATAATGTAAACTCTTTAAGTTTAAATAGTGGCTCATCTACTTTTGATGTCCCTTTACAAGAAGCACGTGAGGCTGAGTATGCAAAAGCAGTGTTCAGGGAAGGTAGCAACGGTCTGAAAGTAGGTTTTCACATGAGCTTTGAGAAGTTAAGGAACTGGGTTTTGGGATTATTATTTTTTTCATAAAATGAAAAAGTTTGGCTTCTGCCAAGGAAATTGGGTGTACTTGTGTCCATGTGAAACATTACTTGTCCAATGCTTTTGGATGAAACTTACCAAATATTAGAGCTAGCAATGAGTTTTACATAATTCTTACTCAGACTGGATGATTGTGTTTATGCAATCCTTAAAGCTGTGCCGGAAGTTCCACCTATCACATGTTGCTGCCTGTTAGGTGTTCTGAAAAAAGCCTAATTAAATTAGTTTACTGTAGATAGAAAGCAATGATTCCTCTTTGTCTGAAAACAAAGTAAGAGATTACATTTTGAATTACCTTTGTTCTCGACAATTAACAGGAACACTCCTAGCACTCCTTTATACAAATAAAATAGCTCTATAGTATTAACCAAAATAAATTAGGCACTGAGTCCACAAATGCCAAATCTGATAGTAATATTGGGTAAATGCAGAAAAGAATACTCTCCAGTCACTTCATGTGATGGGAGTGGTGGGGAATTATTGCTATGTAAGCTGGAGAAAAAGCATAGGCTGTGTTTTGAATTAGGACAAATTAAAATGTAACAACACATAACAAAATTCATCAACCTGTTGAGCTGAAAGTTAGCAGATTTCATATCCTCTTCATATCCTCTTAATGAAATTACTATTCCTGAAATTTTGGGGTTTTTTTAGATTATTAATTCCAATGCTATCCAATGAAAGATAATTGTGATCTTAGAAGAGTTGATAGGTCTCTGGACCAGCACCAATTAAGAAACCTGTTTTCCAAACTAAACTGGGGTCCAAACTAAAACCTCTGTTCATCAGTAATAAGACTGTTGAATATCTTCCATTGATTTCCAAGAATATTTATCTGGCCCTGGTCACTTAGGGCCAGTCAGATGTAGTCAACGTATAGCCTCAACATTATATTGTTGATGGCCTCAACATATTGCACTATTTGTTATATGTTGTTGATGAAACTCCACAAAGCTGTTTGAGTCTAATGCTACCACAGAATTTATGACCAGAGTCCTATACCAGAAATAGTAAGCAATGTTCTTGGAAGATGTTTACATAGTTTTGGTCCTGAACTTTGCCTTAAAGTTTTAGTATTAACAGAAATCACTCACTGCTCAGTATTTTTTTTTTCTTATTCCAGACAGATTTCTTCTATATCTGACTCGGCTTGTTTCATGGCGTTCCAGAAGAAGCTACAGGGGCTGGTTGCTGCCACCATTACCCCAATGACTGAAGATGGGTAAATGTTTTATTGATGCTAAAGGCTGTATTAGATCAGTTGGGTGGGCTCAGAAATTAATTTAAATGTTCTATTTTCAAACATTTTCAAATATAGGTGCAATGGCCTTCCACATAGAAATAATTAACTAGTGCCTTGAGTCTTATCATATTTAGATTTTTTTTTGTTTTTAGAAGTATTTAACACACCTGAATTGCCTGAAATACCTTTATTCAACTATACAAATGGAATGTATACTTTGCAAGTTTCCCTTCCTGTCTTCTACATTTGCTAAAATCCATTTTTATTCTGCACTTGGCTTTTATCTTCCCTGTACTTAATAATTACTTTGGAAAGTAATTCTTGAGACTTATATTGTGCATGTATCTCTCTGTATGACAGTTTTCAATATAGCTGGCTTTCAAATCGTTAGGTGTGTCTGAAGTAGTTTTTCAGTTTCTAGTCTATATAGATTCTCTCATCAGATGTAGGAGGGCCTAATGCAGAGTCATGTCACTGCAATATAGAATAAACCAAGGTTTTTCGAAAATATACTACCAGTATCATTTGGCACTACGGTAGTCAATTTGGAAGAAGAAAATGCTGTAACAGACTTGTGTCTGATATTGTAAGCAGTCTTTTGTTAATATTTTGGAGACATTGTAGGTACATCCAGCTCCCATGTAAAGTCCATGGTACTGGGAAAGGTGGAATGAAACAGAGGAGTATGATCAGCAGCAGACATGATTACAATAGCAATGGGTACACATCATTGGAAGACTTGAAGGGCCAGGTTAGGCATTGATTATCCTGGAGAAATTCTATGTGGTTGCTGAAAGTTGACATTGACTTGGTGGTACATCAATTTTCTCTATAACAAATACACCTGTCAGAGACTTTATCCAACTGTAGATCACTCGGCGGTAACTCTTGTTTGGTAAACTTAAGAGCAGTTAGTGAACTATGAGGCTGCTGCTGATATTGTGCAAGGATGAAGGCATCCAAAATTAGCTTGGCTTTCTCAGGCTATTGGAGATAATGTGACTATCAGCTTTATTTATGTGAAGAATAGTTTTGAGCAAAACGTAGTAAATTTGGAATGAGAATGTATAGCACAGGGGACAATGCCTTTGGTTACTTTCATATTTCTGGGACGAAAGCTGTCTCTAGCTGGGAATATTTGAGACCTTTTATCCTTCATTGATCCTCCCTGGATTTTAATAGGAAAGGTGATGGTGAAAATGTCTTTCTATGTGTGCTAAAACTTGTTCCAAAGCAAAATCTTGAAAGTCAAGCCGAAATTCAACTCTTAACAGATTATTCTGTTTGAACCACTTTCTGCTTGCTTTTATAATTTCCCCCCTTCAAAAAATGTACTTTGAGGGAAGTAGTAGAAGCTGCTTATTCAATCTTATTCACTATTTTGTGCCAATGACAGAAGGGGCGGGGAGGGGGGGGAATCTGAAGCTCCAACTCTTTAAGAGCTTTACTTTGTAAGATGTTACTTGTAAAAAGTTTTTTATAACTAGTTCCATCTGCTCTGTTATGTTCCTTTTTCTTTTTAGAAACATCAATCTCTCTCTGATCAAACAGTATGTGGATTACCTAATAAATCAGCAAGGTGTCAAGAATGTATTTGGTAAGATATAGATAAGATGTATTCCAAGGAAATTTTTCTTTTGAATAAAAAGAACAGCTTCTGGTTCAGAAACAGATACAGTATCAAATATGGATAACCAAGAAGAGATGAATGGTGACTTATCCAGCGTATAACTAAACTGAACACAAATACAGTCCATTTAACAAATTAACAGAGTTGGAAGAGTCTTTGTAGGTCCTCAGGGACCACAGAACTCGTAATTTTAAATCCCAGGGACCACTAACCAGTTCTGTGGACATGGCCTAATTTGTGGGTGTGGCTTGGTGGTCATGTGACTGGCTGGACATGGCTTGTATGTAAATATTATAAATATTTATATAAATATTGATTTTTTTTATAAAAAAAGAGCAACTTTTACCCCAAATCAGGCAAAGCAGGCAGGCAGATTGAGTTGCTCAGAATCAGAGATTCATTCAGAGATCTATCTATCTGCCATCGGCTAGCACAGTCTGTCACATAAAATTTGCTAGCAAGCAAAAATCACAAAATTAACTCACAACACACAATGTATGTAAATATTGATTTTTTAATTAAAAAAATAGAGCAACTTTTACCCAAAATCAATTTTAGAGGTTCCTTGGTTGGTCTGTTTACTGCTAACTTTGGCAGTTTCTATATCGGGGTATTGCTTACTTAATTGTTGGGCCTGAAGTTAACCTTGAAGTTAATCTATGCTGATCTGGTTGCCAGCATCTCTCCACCAGTAATCAACCACCAGATCAGCATAAATTAACTCCAAGGTTAACTTCAGACCCAACAATCAAGTAAGCAATACCCCAATAAAGAAACTGCCAAAGTTAGCAGTAAATAGACCAATCAGAGAACCTCTAAAACCACCCCCACCCACATAGACAAGCAAGTCAGCAGAATATAAACTTGACAGCAAACAGCACTGCTTACTACCACTGATGATGTTACCTAGTCAGGGTACTGAAATGTCTGCAAGAAAACAAGCGCAGAGAGCACCAAGGACCCCTCATGCTGAGATGTGACTAGGAACTTCCAAGTATCTGACACATTTGATGGGCATTAGATGAGAAAACCTTCCTGCACAACTAAGAAAACTTGGGAGTAAATAGTAAAACCATCAGAAATAAGAAATAAATGCATGTAAGTTTAATAAGTACTAAACTGATTTTTTTCAGTTTTCTCAGTAATAAGAAAATGTCTGCCATCTTGCTTGGTTTTTTCATTTCCATTTTTCTAGTTAGTTTAATTTTAATTGCTTCTGTTGGTTTGAATGACAGTTCTGAATAATTTTGCTTTATTTTTATTTCCAAATAAGTCTGTTGTGAATGTTTCCAAATAAAGCTATTTTAACCTGCCCCCTGAAGTTTTGAGAGATGTGGCCAAGTGAACTCTAGGGGAAGTGTCTTCATTAGGTTTTGATATTTACAATCGCATTAGATGCCTTGAAGGCAATGTAATGTAATGTGTCTTTTAACTTTCTTTGTTAAATCACTTTATATTCTATTCTTTTTATATGTCAAATATATATATTTTAACAATAGTGAATGGAACAACAGGAGAAGGTCTATCCCTAAGCATTCAGGAGAGAAAACAGCTGGCAGAGGAATGGGTGACTCAAGGCAAGAATAAGTGAGTAATCTTTGTGGCAGAGGTTGCAGTAGATTGTGAAATCTGCATTCTCAGATTGATGCTGTTGCTTGGGGGTGGGGGGGATGAGTGAATGAGATTGTTTTCACAGAATTTTGCAGAATTGGTCATTTATAATAAGTTAATTGTTATTTGAAAATTCTCTTGCTTCTTCCTGTTGAGCAAAGAGGGAAAATAGGAAGCAATTACTGTGACAGTTTCCTCAACCTAATTTATTTCAAAGCTGCTGGACTTCACTGTTTAGAATTCCTGATGGTTCACTATGCAACTGTCAATTAAGTTCAACACATCTGGAAGATATACTGGTTAGATATATTAAATTAGTTATATCTGCCTTATTTTGTCTCAGGCAGAAGTGGGACTTTACATGCTGCTGATCAATAAAATGTGAGCTTATCAGTGATAGACAGCAGGGTCGTATAACACATAAAGCAAGATAATATTGAGAAATAATTAATCATCGGTTTAATTATCACACTCCTATATTTTGATAATCTTTTTTTAAAATTTCTTTCCCTGCAGGCTGGATCATGTAATAATTCATGTTGGATCACTGAGCTTGCCTGAATCCAAGGATCTGGTGAGTGTGTTTGTTTGTGCACTTTTCTCTGGCCGTGCTTTGATTTTACACAGCAGAATACTGAGAGCAAGGAGAAAACTTTTCCAAAAAGGAGGCATTATTCCCAAATATGGTCTGAGCGATCAAAAAGGGAGCCAATTTCATTATCGCCATAGGTAATTTTCCAGGTAAAACCATACAGGAAACATGATTAGATTAACTAGTTCTCCTTAAGGCTTCATTAACAGAATTTTCCAAGTTTAAAGGTACAATACTCCCATATCACTTTTAACTGCTTCATCAATCAGGATGTGTTCTTCCTAAATTTCTTCTTCTGACTGTTAAGCAAGGGTGTGAAACTCACAGCCTGTGGGCCCCACCCCATCCCAGTTTAGTGAAGGGGAAAAAAGTCCAAATATGCCACGTGACGATTTGAGTTTAACCTCCCCTGCTGTTAAGCCACTGGGGATCTTTTATAGTCTGACATCAGCAGATCCTATTGCCATATTAACTGCTTAACATTTCTCATTTTTTTCAGCATTATTTATTTAACAATAGTCATATAAATATCTCCTTTCAGTTCATTTCCTTTCTTTGTTTCCAGGCCAAGCATGCAGCCCAGATAGGAGCGGATGGCATATCTGTCATTTCCCCCTTTTTCTTCAAACAGATGAATAAAGGTGAATAGATCATTACATTTCACCAAATTGTTTTCCCCCTTGTCAGCCCCTTCTTAAACAGGTTTCATAAATACATAAACATGTACATTATAGTAAAGATGGGCAATCTTTTGGTTAGAGGTTTGGGCTGATATTAAAGATTCTGCAAATGTTTTGAATAGAAAACTGCACCATTATTCAGTGGAAGCTCCAAGCTCTGTAGAGAAAGCTGTTTGGGGAAGTCATAAGCTGCTCACAGCTGTGATAAAATATTGGAAATGAAGGCAGTTTTTGCAAAACCAGCTCTTTAGCTGACTGCTGTTTCCAGCCTATAATTTTCTCTCCAGGTTCCTCAAAATGCATACAGGCAGAGCTGTGGGGGGGGGGGGGGGGGTTGGTGAGAGTGTAGAAAAAAAAAGATGAATATAGCATTGCATGCAGATGGTATATGAGCAGCCCTTATATCTTGTGAAATCTCAGCAGCCAGATGAGGTTTGCAGAAAAGAGATTTTTGGAGTCCTTGTTGCTTCCTTGATGACAAAGGGTAAGCTGAGCATTCTGCAAATTAGAGTATGTCAGGATTCCGGCAGTTACTCCAATTAAATCATGAGCCTCAAGCCACACTCCCAAAACTAAAAAAGCTGTATTTGAAGTTGACATTCTGGCACTAGCCTTGGGCATAGCCAACTCTGAGACACGTAATTCACTGTCAACTCATAAAACATTTTGTATGCACGTTTTATAGTTGTCAGAGTGCTTTACACAGAAAAGTCCCGCTTTTATAATTCTATCCCTTTCATTTCAAACTGGCTAATGAAGATTCTATGAGGTCCTTGCTTGGAAATAATTACTTTTTGTTCCAGGCATCTACTAAAGAGCCTGCCAAGGAACGAACATTCAAGAAAAAGCTGAACGTTTTTCTGTTCTTATTCATTCTGGACAGATGCCTGAATATTTACAAGCAGTGAAGATACATTTGATTTTTAATTCATGGGTGTCCAACCTTTTGGCTTCCATGGGCCAAATTGAGCGAAGAGGAATTATCTTGGGCTACATATAAAATATATAATACACAGATAGTTCTCAATTTACAACTATTCATTTAATGACTGTTCAAAGTTACAAAGACATTGGGAAAAAATGGTTTATGGCCATTTTTCACACTTATGACTGTTGCAGCCTTCCTGTGATCACAGGATCAAAATTCAGACTCTTGGCAACTGGTTCATATATATAATTGTTGCAGTGTCCCAGGGTCACTTGATCACCTTTTGCGACCTGACAAGCAAAGACAATGGGGAAGCCAGATTCACTTAACAGCCATGTTACTAACCTATCTGCTGAGATTCACTTAACCATGGCAAAAAGGGTTGTAAAATGGGGAGAAACTCAATAACTGTCTCACTTAGGAACAGAAATTTCGGGCTCAACTGTGGTTTTCAGTTGAGTTTTATAACATAAAATCATATAATAATGTTTTAGGTTTATGATCTTGTGGGGTTGCATTACTAGATGTCCCAGAACCTCATGGGGCCTGTGGGCCATGGGTTGGACACACCTGGTCTCATGGTTAAGGTAACAGACCAGAAGCCAACTATGAGTTCTAGACTTTAGCATGAAAGTTGGCTGCATGACTTTGGGCCAGTCACTCAGTCTCTCAGCCCATAACATCAGGCTCAAACGTCAACCCAGTTAGTCAATTCCTATCACAACTAATGGGTCAACTTTTGATCTGAAAAAAAAAAAAACCCAGACCCTGCAGTTGTGGTTAATCAAGGAACCACTGTTTAAAGTAATTAATATGAATTCAGCAGCTAAAATCTTAAACTTTGACAACGCTGTGCCTTCCAAAAGTGCTGAACTGAGGTTCCATCAATCTTTTCCAGTTCGGCCTGGATGATGATGAAATAACCAAAATGTGTAAAGTTGAAGAACATAGCCCTAGAAGGAAAGCCCAAAATAATGTTTTCTCCATTTTCAGCTGTATATTTACAATTATTCTATGTTCCACATTGCTTCCCTTGTCCTACTTTAGATGAATTGGTTGCCTTCTTCCGGGATGTTGCATCTGAAGCTCCTAATATCCCATTCTATTATTATCACATTCCTCCTATCACTGGCATTAAATGTAAGTGATACAAATGCAGAAATCCAGTATATTTCAAAATAACTTGAGTGATAAGCAGTTCTGTTTTAATTATTCAGTTTACATTTTAAATTTCTGTAATTCATTTTTCTTGAATTTTTAAACCATGTCTAAGTAATGTTCCTTTAAGACCACTATTCTATGCTTGTTTTCTTCTACGGAAACTTTCTTGAACACAGTAGAATTGATTTATTGGCAAAGATAGAGAATAAGATACCTCAAAATAATGTAGTATAGGTAATCCTCGACTTACAACAGTTCATGACTGTTTAATGACTGTTCAAACTTACAAAGGCACTGAAAAAAGGGACTTAGGACTGTTTTTCATACTTACGACCGTTGCGGCACCCCCATAGTTACATGATCAAAATTCAGATGCTTGGCAATTGACTCATATTTATGACCGCTGCGGTGTCCCAGGGTCATGGGATCACCTTTTGTGACCTTCTGACGAGCAAAATCAGTGGGGAAGCCAAATTCACTTAACAACCACGTTACTAACCTAACAACTGCAGAGATTCAACTGTGGCAGGAAAGGTGTAACATGGGACAAAAGTCACTTAACAAATGTCTCATTTAACAATAGAAATTTTGGACTCAATTGTAGTCGTAAGTCAAGGACTACCTGTAGTTGGATAAGGCCCAAGTACCTGAATTGGGAGTGGTTTTTTTAAAAAAAATCTGGATTCTGGAAGATGCCACATTGCAAAAAGCTGCTGTAGGAAAAGATTCCCACTTTTAATAACCACTCTCGGCTTTGTTGAGTAGAATTGCAACACGGTATACATGTGCAATAAACAATTTTATCTTTAGCTTATTATTGCAATGATGCAACAGTGATAATGACTCTTCCTTGATCAGACATGAACACTTGGTTTACTGCAAATCTTTTTTTATACAGTTCGTGCTGAAGAATTACTAGATAGTATGAAAGAGCAGATTCCCACCTTTAAGGGGGTGAAGTTCAGTGACAGAGACCTCCTGGATCTGAGGCAATGCGTGCAAAAAAGTGAACAAGACCATTTTGTGTTTATGTATGGTGTGGATGAGGTAAGGGTTTTATATACAAAGTTGTTAACTACAGTAGACACCGGGTGGCTTCCTCTGAGAATATGACTAAGTAGAGTTGTATTCTGAATGCTGAATATTCTTAGTGCTTTCCTTGAGCAAAATGTAATACATTTTAATGAAGATGCAAATCTCTACATGGCAAGAGCCTTTGTCTTTGACTGGTTTGGGTGTAAAAGCTAAAATCTGTGGAGTAGGACAATCCCAAGAAAGAATGGAAAATCAACAGGAGGAGGGAATGAATAGCTGGAGGGGCTGTCCAGGAAAATAGACGGGTTTGGGAAATGATTGCCATCTTGCCAAAAATAGCATTATTATGACTGAACTATGTCAATTACAACTGGTTTTATGGGAACACTTCTGTTGGCTGCAGTGATATGTAAATAAAACGTGTAAATACCATTTTTCTTTCTTACTAAGTAGCAACTCCTGAGTGCACTGGTGATAGGAGCAAGTGGGGCAGTTGGAAGGTAAGTTGTCTTTTGTACATGACCGAAGGGCCTTTATGAATTGGGTGCTGTATCTCTTGTAGAGGGTCGCCACAGCCAACTTGCTGAGTCCAACTCACTGCGGGACAAGAGTTAATATCAAAGAAATGGCGGAATAGAAACTTTAAAGAAAGGATGCAAAAGAAGGGACAGAATGAAATGTGAAACGCAACAATGGAAATATTTTTTTATTTATTTTAAATAATTAAATAGAATTTTTAAATTATCCCATGGTGAGTTGGCCATGGCAAGTTGGATGTGGTAAGTTGTTCCATTCCCTTCGGTAGAACAGTCTTTCCCAAATGAATGCTTATTAAAGTGTGCTTGAACTGCACTTAAAACTTCCCGGTTAACTTTATTCTAATTCTCAGCCTGCATTTTTCCCAGATCTTTGGAAACATTAACTAAAAGCACCCATCTTGAGAGTTGTATTTTCTCAGAATTGTTTAGCCCTTGAGAATTAAATGTTAAGAAAAATCTTGGTGAGTCCTATTAGACAAACCCCAAGTCTCGTTACAATTCTGATACATTTAAGGGCCGGTTGATACAACTGATGGTGAATAATATTGCATTGCTGTAATAAATAATAATGGCCTGTGGATTATTACTGTGCTTATCACTGAGACATATGTATAAATGTGAGAACCAGCTTAAAGTTAATTATATTTTTGCACAGGGTCTAAACATTAACTTTTGAAGTCTAAGCTGTTCAGGCAGGGTTTGAAGCGCTCGAGCCAATCTTCTGTTCTTGAATGTTTCCATTTCTACACATTCAGTTTTCACATATAGATACTAAACTTATAAACAAAATTCCTAGTTTCTCTACCAGTGAGTGTTGGTAGATTGTGGTATGCCTATTGATTGGATCATGTCAGCAATGGGGGTGGGGATGTGATTTAGGTAGAATTGCAGAACTGCATGGCATTTAACCATGCCTGTAGTTTTTAAATAATTTTTACAATCAGAATTACTCTTTCCTATATAAGCTAAGACAATATTTTTAATTTGAGCCATTCTACATTAGACTTTTTTTAGTTAAAACACACATGGAAAACTCATTGCTCATCTCTTTTCTGTACTTTGAATTGGATCATTTAACTTGCAATTGAAATATGAATATCTTTGTTCATTTTGTATAACTGCACAAATGTCACAGGAATCCATTGGATAAATATCTAGGCTATTAGGGATGAGTGGTGGGTGACCCTTTGTCCTTCCTAGCTGAAGAATCTCTGTTCTTTCCTGTTTATATCTGCTTCCTTATGTGTGAAGCCAGTTTTAAATAGAAAAATAATAAGTAACAAGCAGTGGTGCTGTTCTACCGGTTTGGACCGTTTCTGGCGTACCGGTAGCACCTAAGATCAGCAGAGACCAAACCGGTTCTCTTTGAGGAGCTGCTGTTGGGATCGCCCTTCTGGGCTCCAATACTGACCTGCTCCTATATACCCTGCTTTTAAAGTGCAGTTGCTTTGCTGTGTCGCATGTCAGCTGTTGAAGCGACAGGGAGAATGCAGGATTGCAGAAGGTGAGTTGGAAAGTCTCTGTGCCTGCGCAAAGTGCGTGCTTGATGTGCGTGCAAAGTGTGTACACACACACAAAGTGCGCCCACCAAGCCCCACCCACCAAACCGGTGGTAAACTATTTTGAAACGCACCACTGATAACAAGGCTTTCCTCCTCTCTTCCCACCCCAAGTACTTGTGAACCAGCTAATTTTCTTCTTTTCTTGATTGTTGGACTGTTTCACTCTGGAATATGCATGTATGCACAATTTTAAAATTTGGAGGGAAATGCTTTACCAAACTGCAGTGTGAATGGAACAATGTACCATTAAAATTGATTAGGCAGTTGGAAGGAATATTGTTTTTAAACAGGAAGGTTGAAGAGACATACTTTTCCTTGCATGGAAGGAATACCAATAATACCAATTCCATGAAAATTTAGACTTCAGATAATTTCTGAAATCTGGTATCTTCTGTACAGTTGCATATCCTTCTGCATCTGCACGGAATAATACCGCTACACTGTTTGCTTTGCTCTAATTGCAATTGTAGGTAGTTCTTGCTTAATGTCCATTCATTCAGTGACCATTTGAAATTTTGACAGTGCTGAATGAAAGGACTTTCTACCAGTCTTTGCAGTACCGCTGCCGGCACATGAATAAAATCTGGGCCCATCCACATTTATGACTGTCTTTTGACTGACTGCCTACCCACTGCTACCAGCTGTCCCCATGGCCTGATCCCGCTACACCTCCCGCTGCATTGTGCACCATTATTGTGCTGGCCAGGGCCTTCTTTCATGCAAGTACATATGTGGTTTTTCTTGTGCCTTGCCAAGGGCATCCATTCCCAGGCTAGCCAGGGCTTTCTATTTGCACCCTAGTCAGGGTCTTCCTTCATGAGAGAAGCTTGGCATGTGAAAGAAGACCCCCCCAACTGCCCTGGCACAAAAGGATCAACCTTCCTTCACATGCTTGGCTTCTTTTGTGAAAGAAGGCCTGGGTGAGGCACGAAAGGAGGTCCTGGGCACAGTGCAAGAGAAGCAAAGGCTGCACCAATGTAAAAAAAAATGAAAGAAAGAAAGCAGCATGAAAGAAGCCCCCCAGCTAGTACAAGAGTGATGCCTAGTGCTCCAGGCAGGGGTCAAAGATGGCAGCTGGTAAGTGAACAGCAGATGGGTGAAGTTCAAGAGTTGGCAGAGGAGGCAGTACCTTACCTAACCAAGGCTTGGAGCTGTAAGGAACCAAGCTGGGAAAATGATTTGGATTAGGGTACATCCTCACTTACTAGTCAGTGAGATTTGGTTAACAATGGCAATGGACTGCTGGGATTATGGTCACTAAGCAGTGCAATCACATGTTGCATTATATGATCATAGCACTTAGCAATGGAAATTCTGGTTCCAAATACTGTTGTTACAAAGCCAGCTTTGTGCAGACAAGTTTTGAATGCTTTAATTTACTTTGTCACTATTGGTATCTCTCTCTTTTTTTAACAGTACATATAACTACCTGGGCTGGATACATAACTTAATATTGGAAGCTTTTGCCTCTGGAGATTTGTGTACAGCACAAAAATATGAGGTATGTTTCTGCTGAAAAGTAAGTCTTAAGGTCAAATTCAACCTCTGATGAATTACATGGACCTATTCATATTAGTTTTGTTTACTAATATGGAAGTGGTTTGCCATTGCTGCCTTCTGGATTTTTGTTGTTGTTACTTTTCACTCTAGCTTAGAACCTGGGATCTTCCTTTGATCTCCTACCCAAGTAGTAAACTTAACAGGTCACATAATTAGATCCCTGTGTGTGAATGTGTGTCTGACTAAAGCCAATTGCAAATTGCTTGTTACTTGCAATAATTACCACTAGGATTCAGGCATCATGGTAAATTTAATAAATTAAACTAAATTAAATATTAAGCCATAGCATGTATTACAGTCCTATGAAAGTATTATGAAATTGAAAGTGTGGAATTGATTCAGAAGTATTATACAGATTAGAAGAGAGTGGAACAGTGTTTGGATAAATAAACAGAAAGAGTTAGAAAATGACAAGACAATAGCAACAGACTTCAAGCATTCTTAAACAAGTAGATTACTGCTGATGGTTGTGATCCATAGGAGGTCTGGATCTGAAAAGAAAACTGCTCTAAAGAGTCCCCCATTTCTCATTTATACAAATTAGCGCGAAATGTCATAATAGAATGTAATTAATTCAGCCCCATTAATCCTCTGGGATTCAACGTGTCAATACAAATCCTGGATAACTTTGTCTGAAGTGAAAATTTTTAAAAAATTGGAATGTCATCTGTGTAATGATATCTTGCTTAGTATGCTCATGTAGATCATTAATCTTTTGCTGTTACTTTGTGAAACAATATGTCCAAACAGGAACTAGAGTGCAATATAATGATTATATACTTATTATCTTCCCCAGAAGGCTTTCATGACTAATAGCCTCAAAAGTAACAGAAAATTCCAGAATTAACAGTCATATTTGCTCTTGATAAGGTCTTCTAAAACAGCAGTTGCCAACCGGTGGGCCACAGCCCACTGGTGGTCCGCGAGAAAATTTTGGTGGGCCACAGAGAAATGTCACCCCCAGAACACCCCCCAAAGCAATTAATCCAGGCTGCGCAGAAACACAAGGCTGCACCGCCCACATGGCCTGCGGGAACCCTCCCTGCCTATTCACTCCTTACCCGGCAAACTTACCAGCTAAATTGCTATTTTTCCTTTTTTCCCCCAACATCAGCTGTTCTGCTGTGCCAGGAAATTTAGATTAGCTAGGAAGCAGGAAATGGTTGGATTTCTTGCTTTCTAGCTTGTCTTTAGATCTTCACCTCAGCACAGCCAAACCTCCCTTAGGACTGAAGGTTCTATTATTCAGTGCAGACTGACAGCAAACAAATTTTATGTGACAGAACTGAGCTAGCCGATGGCAGATAGATAGATCACTGAATGATTCTGTGAGCAACTCAATCTGCCTGCCTGCTTTGCCTGATTTTGGGTAAAAGTTGCTCTTTTTTTATAAAAAAAATCAATATTTATATAAATCTTTATAATATTTACATACACGCATGCCCAGCCAATCACATGCCCACCAAGCCACACCCACAAATTAGGCCACGTAGTTAGTGGTCCCTGGGATTTAAAATTATGAGTTTGGTGGTCCCTGAGGTCCAAAAGGTTGGCGACCCCTGTTCTAGAAGGTGATCCAATCAGCGTCCATTTCAAAACCATACCTAAAAGCAGATTAAAATAGAACAGATAATTAGTCTCTTAAAAGAGATCTGGAATATAACAACAGTTCTGTGTAATGAATCAAATAAATGTTAGCCTATATAGCAGGGGTGGGATTCAAAAATTTTAACAAGCGGTTCTGTGGGTGTGGCTTGATGGTCATGTGACTGGGTGGACATGGCTTGGTGGTCATGTTATTGGCTGGGTGTGGCCAACTCAATATCACATCGAGGCACGCATCTCCTTTCTTGGCCTCTCATGACTGTGGGGATGCTACAACAGTCGTAAGTGTGAAAAATGGTCATAAGTCACAGTGCCATTGTAACTTTAAAGGTCACTCCACACAAGCAAAGTACCAGCAAAGGAGGGGAAAAAAACTCCAGAGTAGTTCCTGAGACAGGAAGTCTAGTCCTACCAAGAATGTAATAAGGGTTAACTGAGAAGCAGTTTCTGTAAACAACACCAGAATGTTTCCTTCCTGCCTTCCTTACAGGATTAGGCTAGTAATTTCTTTTAACAACCAGTTCTCTGAACTGCTTAGAATGTTAACAACTGGTTCTAGCGAATAGGTGCGAAATGGTAGAATCCCACCCCTGCTATATAGGTCTTTTGAATCCCAGAACTGTTGTTATATTCTTTTCATTCATAGTGGCCAACAGAGACAAGAGAGATACAATACTTTCCCTCTTGTACCCCCATTAACACTTTATGAATTATTTTAAATAATTTGGACAATTTCCAAGTTGACAGCTATTTCTATGATAAGAAATATATAGGCCATAGACTTCAGTGTGCATTGTGTGAAGAATTTATATAGGAACTACTCAATCCAACTGCCTTGTTACAAAGAAATATATGTAAATAACCGTTAGCTATTACATTTACTTCAGAAACTGTTTCCTGGTTGTTTCCATCAAGACAATATATAATACTGACTGCATTAGATGAATAGTAACAATACTTTGTTTCTCTTAGTTCTGTATTCAGGAGTTCTTTGGCTTTCTCATTTCACTAGGTAAGTACTTCAGTAATTTAACCCATTTGCTAAATAGCTCGCTAGAATGGACTGAATGCTTCTCAGTTTTCCCTAAATAGTTTCCATCTCCCAGAAGTTCAGTTCTGTAGAATTCTATTCAAGCATGGTTCGTTCATTTCTTTTATAAATTGCTCTCCATATTTTCTTCTACTGGTGGTCCTCTCTTAATGGTAATTGGGCCCGGCAACTCCATTGTTAAGCAGTGCAGTCTTGAAATGCAATACCACATAACAGTGCTGCTTAGCAACAATTCCAGCAGTCCCCAATTACTGTTGTAAAGCAAATCACTATGTTGTTCAGCAAGGACCTCATGTGACCACATCTTTTGACTTCCTTCTGGCTTCCCCGTTGACTTTGCTTGTGGGAAACTGACAGAGAAGGTCACAAATCACAATCACATGACTGTGGGGCATTGTAAAGGTTAGAAATCTGGGCAGGATCACACCCAGATCAAGGGGGAGGGGGGCAGACTGTGATGGCTGGTTGTTAAGTACCATTCATTCAGTACTATCATAAGTTTAATCAGTCACTAAACGAGTGGTCATTAACCAAGGTTCACTGCATTTCTAGATTTCTTGTTTTCTGTTTATTCAGACTTTCCTTTTTCAAATGCATTTTTAAGGATTGTGTAGCTATTGCAATCTGAAGCAGGTACAACTGTGATCCTTAAAGAAGCCATACGTTTTGCTAGTACCACATACCAGTAGTAGCCATTCACTTCCAGGAATTAAGGAGGCAGTAAAGACAAAAGTTGTACCTGTTCCCACCTCCTTAACTCTAGCCCAGGAAAAAAAGTGTGCCTTTTTTAGGAGCCACTGACAGGGACAATGATTGCACCCATCCCGGATTTGAAACATCTCTTCTACTTTGAATCTGAATCCCTATCTTTCTCATTTTAGTATAGCTACTCCTTGACCTACAACCTTTCATTCAGCAACCATTCAAACTTCACATCAGCACTGAATGAATGGTAGGTTACAACCAGAGTTCTGGCTATCCCAGTACCCTCACAAGTCACATGATTGTTATCAGTAACTTAGGCTGCAACTTATGACTAGTTATGATCGCTATCTGTAATCTTCCTTGCTGACTTCCTTACAAAGCTGGCAGGGAAGGTCACAGATCACCAGGGTATCTCCCACCGTGCACCTTCCCCTAGTTTCTGTGTGCCTGAATCACGCCAGCCTCATGCACTCCCCCACATCCTCCCTGAAACTTCACTGCACCTCCTCTCTTGCACATCCTCCACAAACCCCATTGCGCCACCCTCATGTACCCTCCCCAACCCAGACTGCACCTTTCACGTACCCTGTCTGTGTTCTGACCCAGCCGGGTTCCCCGAGAGCAAACACAGATAAACTCAGTAACTCAAACTTTCAAGGCTTTAATCTAAAAATAAACCTCTTTGTAGATAACAGATGGCTTGCAGCCAATTAGTCCAATTAGAAAAACCTTGATAGAGGTCTTCAAATAAATCAGAGTCTTTAATCATTTGAACATTTTTGCCTTTTGCAAAGACAAAAACTGTTTGAAACCAGGCTTATATTCCCTGGAGGGAGGGACCATTAATTAGCATTCTTACTCCCGAGTCACCTGTGCTGCTCTTCCATGAATCATCCTGCTCTCACTCGCACATAGCACAGGCTCCTCAGGAACGTCCTCCTCATTGCTGCTAGCTAACCACAATACTCTGATCCATGTAATACCTCTCATGCTTCCCTTCACGCACCCTCCCCACCCTGCACTGACCCACCATTCCTGCTGGCTGAAGACTTGCAGATTTCTGCCAACTTTCCCCCCACCCCCGACTTTGGTCATGAATAGCTTGTGGGAAGTTGCCTCACCTAGCAACCCTGTGATTTGGATAACGAAAGCAAGCAGAGTTGCAAGGATTACTGTTGCTAAGCAACATGATTGCATTTTATAACTGCATTGCTTAGCCATTATCTGCATTACATTAACACATCACTAAAAAAACCCCTATCAATTGGTATGCTATAGTTTATTAACTGAATTATTTTTGCACTTTGGGCAGGCTTTGGTGTTCCACAAATCAAAGCGGTCATGACATTATTTTCCGGGATCCCGATGGGCCCACCGCGACTTCCACTTTCACCTGTCTCTGATGACTACATTGTTAAAGTAAAAACCAAACTGGAAAGCCTGAATAACTGTCTCTCTGGTCCAGTCTTAAAAAAATAGTCCCTATAATTTGATAAACAGGTAACTTGAAATGTAGGATTTGAAATACTTGCGGATTGCACCATTTTCATGAGGTTTCAGGAATTTGGCCTGGACTACTTCCTATACAGAATGATCTGGCCTTGTTTGTGTGGAAGATGATACCTGCTTATAGTCTGCCAATACTGAAGTTTTACAGGGGAAAGAAACTAACTTTGAAACAGGAGGATTTTGTTTCCAACAAATAAAGAAGTCTTATCTCCTGAAGTCTTATCTACAACATTAGAGAGCGTAGCACAATTTAAGCAACTGATTTATTTCTTATTATTTTCATATCTGGATGAACAATAATGTAGTGCTCAAAGCTCTGCATTTATAGAACCCAAACTCTGGAAGTCTTTTATGTTTACTCTTGAAATTTACATAGTTGAAAACTTTTAATAGGAACATTCCAATTGGAATAATGAATTGTAATTAACAAATGTTTTCTAGCTTTAAAAAAAACAAGTGCCATTTTTTAAAATAATGAAAGAGTAATAAAAAAAGGAATAAAGCTAATTATACACTCCTTGCCTAGAAGGCTAAACAAAAAAGTATTATTTTTTAAAAAAAATAACCTGGGATTTCATCTCAACTTATCTAGGATACACGCATTCACCTTTACAAAGAAGTAAATCATGAAATGGAACTTATTCTCAGCATGATGTTTTTGAGCCTTATGTTTTTGTTTACAACCAAGTTTTCAACCATAGGCAGCCTATGAGATAAGTATTAGCCTCAAAGTATATTATAATATTGCAGGAAAAGGGGAGGATTGTTATACTAACCTTGGATGACACTGTTTTGATGTGAAAATGAGTAAAGCTGGCATTTCCTTGATCAAATTGAAATTCTAACTATTAGAATTACTAGTTTACTGGGCTCAGGAATGATAAAGGAGACATCATGAAAAGAAATTCCTTTCCATCTGATAATATCCTGAGTGTGTTAAACTAACCCACCTCCAAGCTATCAAATCTATCCTGATTATGGGAGTTGTAGTTCAAATAAATGGATGAAACAGTAGCAGATACAATCATTTTGTCACCAAACAGCTATCTAGAAACAGTGTAGAGTTCTTCTTTAAAAGAACTTCAAGAGGCAGTAAGATCTTGAATTTAAAACAACACTCAATTAAGCTAACTTGTTATATTTTTTAACCCATGCTGCTATTGGCAGATTTTCCCTTTTGCTGATCAAATAGGAAAAATGAAAGCTCTTTACAAATAATGATTATGTGTCAAATACATCCTGACCATTGTATATTTAGCATGCAGGTATTCCTTGGATTATGATAGTAATTGGGATTAAGATTTTACACCCCTGAAAATGTATCTTAAAATGTGTTGAACATCTTGCCTGTTGCATTAGAAGATGGGCAAGATATTCTTCATGGGAAATTGTTCAGCCCTGTATTTCTTAATGAAGACTGTCTATTAAAATACTATTATAATCCATTAGTTTTTGGTCTTATAGAAAACCAGGAACTTCAAAATCCAATCTTTCTTTCTTTATATCTTAATTATAATGTGCTTCCAGGTAGGGCTTTAATGAATAATCGCCCACCCATCGTTTACACTTGCTTTTTTCCCCTTCTATAACTACCATTAATTGTCTTGCTCGCAACATTCCATTAGTGAGAAAAACACACAAGAGCTTTATCATGCCTTTTGATAGTTACAAATGGGAGTCCTCTGCCTAGGAATACTATTACTGCCTGAGACATACACTTGAGTTGGTTGAGTAGGTGCACTTTCAAAGCTAATATCAAATGTATTTCTGATTCTGTTAATAAATATGGAAGGTCGGCAGAACAGGAAAACAAAGGAGAAACCACTAATTGTTGTAACTGGTTGCCTGCTGATGACATTTCTAACTACTGATAATTGTTTGCTAAATGCTATTGGTTGAGTAAAGATTGTTTCCCAAGTGACTCTGCAATGTGTCCATTTGGAGTATTGCTTTTGACTACCATTTTGAGGTAGATGGGAAGTAATTGTTTCATTTTACTTTGCCCTGGTCAGATCCATTTGGAGTACTCTATACTCAAACTTTAGAACAAGTTCAGAGAGGGTTACCAAAGTGGTGAAGGATTTGGAAACCAAACCCTCTGAGGCAGAGGTGATATTCAGCAGGTTCTGACTAGTTCTGGAGAACCGGTAATGGAAATTTTGAGTAGTTTGGAGAACCGGCAAATGCCACCTCTGACTGGCCCCACCCCATCTATTCTCTGCCTCCCGAGTCTCAGCTGATCGGCTGGGTCTTCTTTTGTTGCCCTGCACAGGAGAACGGAGCTAGAATGCAGGTTAGTGGGGTGGGGAGGAATGGGAATTTTACAGTAACTTTCCCCTGCCACACCCACCAAGCCACGCCCACAGAACCGGTGGTAAAAAAAAATTGAATCCCACCACTGCTCTGAGGTATAGTTAAATGATTAGACTACAGGAAAGGCAAGTGAAGGGAACATATATTAGTGTTTTCAAATACTTAAAGAGAATGGGTTGGCTTACTTTTTATTGACCCAGGGGGCAGAACAGATCCAGTGCCAGGCCAAAGATAAAGAGTAATTTCCTATGGTATGAGTTGTAAGTCAGCAGAGCTATAAGGGAGTTCTTTGAATAGAAGCTGAACAGAATAGAACCTGTCAGAGATGCTGTAACGGATCCTGCAGCAAAGTGAATGAGCATCCTTTCAACTCTGATAGTATGAGCATTCTCAGAAAGTAGTGGTTGTGATTGAGTATGCACGAAAAAATGCACAGAACTTTCCTTTACAAGAACACGAAATTAATCAAGATTGATTTATTTTATTGGATTTAAAGGGTGTCCAATTCCCTGTTGGCTTTAGGTGGCTTAAAGTAAAAACTAAAAAGAGAAATGAGACATGCATGAAAACATGCCCAACACCAGAACAAGAAAACCAACAGATCTTAACAGCCACCCAAACACCAGGCCAATCATATATTTGTTCCATTTTGTTGAATAGGATATCGTTTGCACCCAGAGAAATTAAGTGAGAAGAGCAGACTAGCATCTGTTAAATTTTACAGATTCAGACCATGGTAGCATTTATTGTTACTATATTCCCTAGCAAACTGTTGCAGTGTATCTTCATTGAATTATAGCCACCTCCCAAGGCAGTGCTTATTTAGTTTCATGGGCCTTCACTTAAAGTATTTGCTATTTTATCTAGAAATGTTGCTCATCAATCACAATTGATGCAGAAGATTTAATTAACTCTGACATATCCCCATAACTACTAATTTTCTAACATACCTCTGGAGAAGTGTGTGATCCCTAAAAGTCAACTCTGAGAACATTCTGCAGGGGGCACAGCTTCACAAAACAGTCTTTTCAGCAGTTCCAAGAAGTCTCCACACCCTTTTACACTACTCGGGTGACCCTGAGGATGCAAACAAGCCTCCAAGTAGCCTCAACTCTAAAAGAATGCAAATGATCAGCTGTCTGCAAGGAGTATAAATCAGTCCATTCCCCACCATCCCCACAGAACTGAAGAAGCTGCTTGGATGAGAAGGAAAACATCTTCAAAGAAAAACAAGACAGTCCAGTTGCCTCTTGAAAAAGCACCTTCAGGACTGGATGACTGAGAATCTCCATAGACACTTGGTGACTTGATGGCACTTCAATCAGAGGTGGAATTCTGCAGGTTCTGACCAGTTCTGGGGAACTGGTAGTGAAAATTTTGAGTAGTTCGGAGAACTGGCAAATACCACCTCTGACTAGAGATTTTACAGTATCCTTCCCCTGCTATGCCCACCAAACCACAATAACCACAGAACCGGTAGTAAAAAAAATTGAATCCCACCACTGACGACAATGGATCAGTCTTCCATAAAAACGAAACTTGTTCATTGATGCATATTTTTCTAATTTGGCAAGGTTCTCTGCTTTCAAAATGTTTAAAGAGAGCACTTTGCTATGAAAATGTTTATAGAATCAATGAACAAGAAAATTCTGGTGAAGATTTAAATGCACTTGAAATGAGTCTACTGCAGATTTGAAAGATGATATCCTCTTCGAGGAGAAATTTCTATAAGGGCTCCAATATATAGCTCAGTGGTGGTTAACCTTTTCGTCACCGAGAAACGGGAGCAAGCATGCCGGCCACCTGGTCTTTCGGTTTCTAACGCATATGTGCATGTATGCCAGAGAGCTGCTCTTCCGATTTCCGATGCTCCCACACATGCGAAGATCAGCTGGTCGGCATGCATGCACGTGCTGAAACCCAGAAGAGCAACAGACGATAGCTGGAGTGCCCAAAGAGATGGCTCTATGTGCTACTTCCAGCACGCATGCCATAGGTTCACCATCATGGATATAGCTGAATTAAACCAATAATTATATCTGGGCTTGGGCAACATTAATAGTATTCTATACCCTTGAAGGAGTTATTTACCAACATGAGGATTTTATGTTGCCACCTAAAACAATCACCATGCTGCTTTTATATACATGCAAGCTTCTATGCTAAGCAGAGGTGGTATTCAGCAGGTTCTGACCAGTTCTGGAGAACCGGTAGCAGAAATTTTAAGTAGTTTGGAGAACCAGCAAATACCACCTCTGACTGGTCCCGTCCTCATCTATTCTCTGCCTCCCGAGTCCCAGCTGATTGGTTGAGTCTTTTTTGTTGCCCTGCACAGGAGAACAGAGCTGGAAAGCAGGTTAGTGGGGTGGGGAGGGAATGGGATTTTGCAGTAACCTTCCCCTGCCACGCCCACAGAACTGGTAGTAAAAAAATTTTGAATCCCACCACTGATGCTAAGCCTGTATCCTCAGTTTTCATTATAATTTAAGCTACCTCTATGGTTCCTATTCCCCAACCTGCAGTCATGTATGGAGCAATTACTTCATGAACCTGTGAAATAATATTTGACCTCTTAAGGCTTTACTGTTATTCATGTATGGTGTCTCAAGTATTGCTAAAACAAATGAATTCACTTCCGGTAGATTCCCACTTTAAAGAGTATTATCAATAGGCTTCTATGATGACCTCTTAGTCTATAATCTATCTGTTCATTACCCCAAGGGCAAGTTCTATAGGCTTTTTCTCATTTTTATGTGATTTCCACGAACACATTACACAAGTCCCATTCGGAAAGCCTATAAACGCTGTTCCACTATTCCGCCGTTCCTTGCAATTTTACGTCCTCCCACTGGAGGCGCTTTCCTCAGCGCTCTCCCGCAGAGACATTCTTCGAAACTAGGCCGTTAGTCGTGCAGTCCTGCGCAAGCGTAAAGCCGCCGCCATCTTGAGGATGTGCTGAGAACGGGAGTCTGTGAGAGGGGCTGAGGGGAGCGAACAACCTTCCGCGCCTTCCTCGAGACAAAGTTTTCCGCATCAAACCAGACCAGGTTGTGTCTATTTAGCAAAAAAAAAAAATCTATGTATTTTTGCGCAATGGGGCCGTGGGTTTCCGGATATAAACGGCATGAAATTTGGGGAAGGAGTGCGCAGACTCGACAAGCGAGAGCAGAATCCGCATGAGCGGAGGGAAGAGAGAAAAAGGCTAACGGCGAAGAGCATGCGCAGTAGAGCTGCTTGGTAGGGAAACGCAGCCCTTTTTCCACGGAGGTGGGGATAATAGCAGCTGCCACTCTTCAGATGCGTTAGCCAAAACTTGCCTTGAATGTGGTGGTGTAATACCGTTTTGGGTTCAGCATCTCTGAAACTGGGTGGGAAGAGGTCAATTAATCCATTTGAGGTTTAACAAACCTCGCTTGCTGCGTTAAAAGAAAAACAAGCCTCATTTCACTACAAGGTGCGCGTCTCTGTTCGATTGAGCACAAGGTTTGAGTTAAGCAAATAGCGGGAATATAGAGGGGTTGTGTTTTTTTTAATCGAATATGAAAATATTGTTTTCCTGAGATTACAGGGACCCTCTCCTAGTATCTGAAATAGCAGCTAACAAAATGGGCTTGGTAATGTGGGTGGGTAAGGCTTTTTTATTGCTCCATTTCAAAAAAAATTCTGATATAAAAGGGAGCTATAAGGTTGTAAAGATATTTGTTGGCTCTGTTGGTAACAGGAAATATATATTATTAATAAATAATACATATAAGAACCAAAATGCTATGATTTCCTATATTTACTTTTACTTGGAATTGAATGTGTATGCATGTGAGAATAAAAACTAATTATTTTCAAGTACAACAACTGGATTTGTCACGTGACCAGTTATTATTGTTTATTCCATTTGTGAGAAGGCTTGTCTCCGTACAAATACATTGGCAATCTAATGCTTTGTGCTTTTATTCCATAGATTCTGTCTACCTCAGGCTGCTTCTGCCATGGGGGATGTGAAGAACTTCCTATATGCTTGGTGTGGCAAGCGAAAAATCACCATTGCTTATGAGATCCGTGCTGTGGGCAACAAGAACAGGCAGAAATTTGTGTGTGAGGTATTTAATGACTCCCCATTTATCTAAATTTTCTAAATTTGTATTGCATAGAGAGCTACAATATATGCCTTAGCCAGAAATAAAGATTTATAAATGAAGTGTTATATTTAGATACAATGCAATCCAGGTTAAACCCTTGTTTGATTCCTGTATTTCAGGGAGACTTAAGCATGCGTTTAGCCTTCTTAGTTAAATTAATGCTAAAAATTATTTGCCTACATAAATTATGCCCCTATTACTTAATTCAGATCCTATTGCTCCGTAAGGTGGCTTGCAAAATGAAACAAAGCTCGAAAGAAAGCAGAGGTAGAGACTTGGATCATAATGGAAAACAATCAGAACCTGTATTGATCATTTGACTAATCCAAATAATTGATCATAGAGTGAATTGGGCAAGCATGGAAGCATTGCTGGATAAGAGCAACACATTTTGCTACTACTCTCATTTGAATTATACTTTTCATGTCAAATAAACCATGGCAGCTGCAAATACAAATCCTGCTGTAGGATTT